TGTCAGACTTTGTTGCAACAATCAAATCCAGAAAGCACATACAGGTAACTGATTCAGCAGGATCCATTAACTTTTCTTTCTACGTATGTAATATAACACGAGATATAGGTGCCATTATTTTTACTAGCGGTTTGCTCGTGCGTACGCGCAATGCTTCCGCACATGCGCAGAAGTGTCTGGGTGGGTGGGCGGAGCCTCCCGCCACCCCCACTACCGGTTCGTCCGATCCGGGCTGAACTGGAAGCTACCCACCTCTTATATATACAATACCAAGAGGGGGTCTTCCCACGTGGTAGAGAGTACAAGCAAATACAAGCAGAAGAGAGAAGAGTTTCCAGTTTTAGTTGGGTCTAGGACCGTTCTCCTTGTACTCTTCGCCGCCCCTTTTTCACCGCCAGGGTTCCGCCCCCAGCCATTCATCGCTACCATTTCTCCTCCGCTGAAAGGACCCCATCTGTTCGTGCCGGCCAATGGGACCCAGCCTCTTTAGTCCCAGACCCTTCGTCACGGGCCATTCAGCGAAATCTCGCGCACCCCAGCCTTTTGGGCTCAGGAGACAGTTCACCGCTAGCCTCCCGGAGGAAGGGAAGGGAGAAAGGCGGGGGAGGGAGAAAGTGTTCCATTTGGAGTTTCCTCTCTGGGGATTTGTTTCTCTGCCCAGTTGCCTTGGGTCTGAGCTAGAAAATCCTTTGCATCCCCCTCCCCACGAGCCCAAAAAGCTGGGGTGCGCAGTGTTTCACCCAATGGTAAAAGGGTCTGGGACTGAAGAGGCTGGGTCCATTGGCGGGCGTGAACAGCTAGGACCCTTTCAGCGGAGGAGAAATGGTAGAGGTGAATGCCTGGGGCTGGAGCCCTGGGGGCAGAAAGGGGGCGGTGAAGGGTACAAGGAGAATAGTCCCATTCCAGCACCAGATTTGTCTGCCGCTTTAGCACAGAAGTTAAACTAAGACATGCCCAGGCTCCTTGCTGTCTCCAGCAAATACTCCTTCGGTTTCCAAACAGTCCCCATTGGCTGACCTGTTGCCGTGTCTCTGTTCCAGTTCATGAATATACCCTGACATATTGCGTAGTTGACTTGGCTTCTGCAACTTTTGAGTCTTGTTTTATAGGAGTAGAATACCGCTAGATGCTGCCTTCTCCAACGTCATCGAATCCAGCAGTTTTGGCTGATGCAAAACTGCCCTTTTTAAATGACTTTTCACACGGCCCCCGTTGAGGACGATTTAAATTGGGCTACCACCCGGGATTGCAAGCAAACAGAAAGCCGCCACTTTGTAGAACATGCCTCACAGGAAAAGGGCAAACCTGTGAGCATTTACTTATGCCCATAATCAGTGGATGAGCTGGCAAGCCAGCGTGAGTTATAAAACTACTTAATTGAAGCGCTTAGAGAGAAAAGGGTAAACACAGTCCCCATGGTTACCAGGCCAGATCTGTCATATTGAACTAATAGGAGCTAAAATTCTCTATTAAAAAGAAGGATTCCGGTATGAGCTGACTCTTGGCCAATACACAACTTAATTGGGACACGGGCCGGAAATGGGGGCTGCGGAGAGCTGAATTATGCGGGACTTTGTAGAAGGTGACACTGCACTCCATTCATGCAAAAATCCACAGGGTTCTTCTTACAATCTTTTGTTGCCTTTTATCAGTAGAGAATAGATTTAGCCTCCAGAATGGTTCATAGTAGGGGAAGGTGTGAGATAAACCGAAATGGATGGCTTCTTCCATCCCATCTGCAAGGAATGCTTAAAAATGAGACTTTGCCCAGGTAGTCATGCCTGTTAATCTTGCCTTATTACACACACACACACACACGCTCCTGTGTCCAGGTGTAGGTCTTGCAACACAATGGAAGCAAAGCTTTGCAGCAAAAGAGTCCTCTCCCCTTGGTACGACAGCTGGCGAGGATGCTAGGTAGACTTTTTCAGGAGTTGTGGCCAAGTGGTAATGCCCAGGGGATTCTTAGCAGAAGCTTTTGGAATAATGGGAGTGGCCCAATGGTGAAATCTAATCCCCCCCCCCACCGGTTCTGCAGGCGTGGCTTGGTGGGGGTATCACATGACTGGGTGGGTGTGGCCAATTTTTTTTTCACTTTCAGCTTTTTTTAAAGCATTTTTAAAGTATTTTTAAGCATTTTTTTCCATGCTGGTTTGCCCGAACTGTCAGGGAAAAAAATGCTTTAAAAAGCTTCCAACAATCGTCAGAAGCATTTTTTTTCCCCTGACGGTTCAGCCGAACCGGGCTGAACCGGGAGGATTTCACGCCTGGAGTGGCTACCATGTAGTTAGAAAAACATTTGAGAAGCAAGTAACTTTGTATAGCAGCTACACAACTATTTTGGTATAGAAATCTATACTTGCAAGATATAGATGCTGTTGGGTGTGTAGCATTCTCAAAAATCAATGCCCCTGTAAGATTTGTTACACCCCTCCAGTAATACATTTTTCCCCTTGCTTAGCAGGCAGTAGAAATCTTACTAACACAGCCTCATTTTCTTTCTATGTACGTTCCCTAGCAACTGGTTAGAAAAGTACAAAGCATTCTTGAGAAAACATTGTTTAATTTAATGATGACACAAAATAAAGATGTCGTACCCTGGTCATGTTTCTGAAACATAAAATAAATAAGTTACCGCTTAAGGGGAAAGCACAGTGTTGCTTTTTGTTAAAAATGCATCCATGTTATCTTTGCATCTCTTATTTTAAACATTTTCTGCTTTATGGGACGAGCCTCATGGTCCAGCATTTGGCTAGCGGTTAAATCACGAACGGCAGATTGATACAACAGTGGAAAGCCCCTTCCGCCTCAATTAGAGATACGGCCTGCTCCACATCTTAACAGAGAAGTGGCACGAACCGAAACAGTATGACTTTCAATCCATATTTAGATCGGTTCATTTGGATTTATCTGAAAATAAATCCAGCATTGCATCAGACCGACAGACAAATCTTAAAATCTTGAGAATGTTATGCAGTTGTAAAAAAAAAAAAATACACTTAAGTATTTGCAGCACAGTATGTCTCACGGCAATCAAATATAATCGTTTAAGACGTTTTACACCCAAAAACTCTGTTACTGCTCTGTTGGAACAGAAATGCATGTACTTCATGAACTGGATTTAAAAAAAAAAAAATCAAAAGTCTCTTGTGAGATTTATAAAAGAAACCAGCCCTAATTCAATAGCCTAAGGATGTCTGTTTCCAATGAAAGAAATGTCATTCTGAATATTTCCCCCCATCTTCTTCTAAAGTGAACAGGGTAGCAAATACTAAGCTACCCTAACCTCCATCATAGAATATGGCAATGTTTTGAATGCATTCAAATGTCCTGCTTTCAGCATAAAAGTGTCCCTTCTTCAGGAACTTATTCAAGTTTTGTTGGAGTTTCTCCTTTGCTTTATACTCCCTAGTCTAGTATCACTGGAACACATACACTTCCTCTCTCTCTGATCTTCCTGGGTGGCCTTGGCGCCAGCAAAATGTTCCCGAACTTGGAACCAATGGACTCTTCGCTGAGAAGGGAAGGCGTGAAGAAGTTTTCCATCCAGGTCAATCAACCTTTCAGACAGAGGTGACGGTTCTCACTTTGGCCGACAAAGCTTGCTTAAACCTTCTCTTCAGGTCTTGCATGTTGGGTGACTTGGGCCTCGAGATGAGGGAAGTCCTCCGCTTCTCCGGGGTCCCTGCGGGTTGTTGTTTACTGACTTCTTTGCACAAGCTGTGGAAGGCACAGAAGACCTCTTTGTAGTTCTCACTGACGGAGACCTCGTAGAAATTACAGCCCAGCATGCCGGCCAGCTGAAGTCCACGCTGAGGTTCTACCTCCTTAATATGGAGGAGGTCCGCTTTGTTTGCGACAATAACTACGGGGACTCGATTCCCGGGATGGACCTGCCGTACGTGCTGGTGGAAATGGCCAAGGAGTTCGTAACTTTTATGATCGGTAATGGAAAAGACGATTACCACTGCATCTGCCCAGCGGAGACACTTGTTCAGCTGTTCGTTACAATCCAGGCTGTGTCTGTGCATCTGTGGTTTGTTTTTTGTTTTTTTAGAAAAAAAAAGGGAATAAGAAAATTACTTGGCTGCAAAGCCACAGATCTTCCCGATACAACTTCCATTTCCATTCTACATCTGTGAGTTAACACTGCCCTCGTTCATTATTCTCCCCCAAATTTAATCTCCTCTCTCCTGTTGCTTAGACAAACAAAAACTCGGGCTAAACTGAGTTAGTCTGGAAGTTTGCTACGTTCAAGTGGAAAACTGCCTGACTTTCTGTAAAGTAAAACAATTTGTGGTGCCAAAGAATGGGAAATTAACTGGCTAGACAGTCAGTGGGGAATGGAGATGGGGGGGGGGGGGGGAGAACAAAGGTGGAACGCTGGAAACGTTTTTAAGAGTTGGAGGCTTGCCCAGTTCAAAAAGGCAAATTTTGACCTTACACACGTCTATCCATCCGTTTAAACTTTCCCCAATACAAAATCCACTCCAAAGTAATTTTAATGCGTGCAGCTGCTGGTGCCGTCGAGTTGTTTCAATCGTGTGTGTTTATTAAATGGGCTACGTAAAAAAAAAAATGAAAATATTTCTGGTGTACATTTCGCCAGGGGAAAAAAAAACCCAAACTCTTTTAGTTTTCCAAGAAACAGCTCTTTTACCCATTAGCAGCGATTCTGGTTTTATTTAGAAAGGTTGCCTCCTTAAAACCGAGTGCTGTGTTTTCAAGTGGGCAAACATTGAATTGAAATAGTGGGTTGTTTTCTTTTACTGTCAGGAGAGTATACACAGACCATTTATCTGCCCAGGACTGTTTACAGTCATTCCTAGCAACGAAAAGAATTTGCAGTGGCTCCGTGGCCTAAATATCAGCCAGTATCTACAACCCTCCTGAAGCTGAGCAACAAAGAGGCTCCCTTTTAAATTATGGAATGCAAAGGAAGTCCACTCACCTGTATCCCAGGTGTATCCTGCACCTGAATTGCAAACGTCTCTCCATCGATTTCAATCTGTCTGCTGTACAGGTTACCTGGCAATAGAAATAAAGACAGAATTTTAACAAAGGATGAGCAAAACTGAAGACGCTTCTGTAAAAAAAAAAAATTGGCAGTGAATACAATTGCAAATCGGGGTGGGGAAAACCATTCTAACTTTATTAGATTCATGCTTCCATCAGAGAAAACAATTAGCACAATCCTAGGCATCTTATTTAGTCATTCAATGGGGCTAAATTGCAGGTGAGTGTGTGTATAAGATTGCAGCCTAAATGAATAACTACGGAGAGGTAAACAAACAACAGAAGCACTCGTAAAATGAGTTGACACCGTCAGGTGACTTTACGCATGCTTTCTTGTAAAACTAACTTTATGTACAAAGTTACTGCTAGAGCTAGGTGCAAAATAATTTATTAGCTGTCTGGGGCCTTTTGTACAGGGCAGTGTGTCTCAATCTTGACAACTTTTAAGGCACGTAGACTTCAACTTCCAGATTTCCCCAATTTCTGGGTTACCAAGGTTGGAGAAACATTAGTATGGGAGAACCGCACACCCTGCAGTTAGCAGAAAAATTATGGAACAATTACCCTGAACCAGGAAAGAATTAAAACGTGTTTACATTTTCTGCCACAAGAATAAATAATTGTGATGTGCGGCATTTTGATTGCCATGTTTTTACTTTGATGATGAAAGTTTCAACCTGCCAGGTAAGTCTCTTTCATCCCGTCAGTCTTCTATAAGAAAACCTTCAGCCTCACTGATTTCTCATCTTTATCGAATATTGTTCTTCTTTTGCCTTGGCAGCCAGGAAGTTAATTCAGTTATAGTCATGACAGATTAGATTTGTTTCGATGAAGTTTACAAGAGCCGAGGTGGCGCAGTGGTTAGAATGCAGTACTGCAGGCTACTTCTGCTGACTGCTAGCTGCAGTTCGGCAGTTCAAATCTCACCGGCTCAAGGTTGACTCGGCCTTCCATCTTTCTGAGGTGGGTAAAATGAGGACCCAGATTGTTGGGGGCAAGAGGCTGACTCTGTAAACCGCTTAGAGAGGGCTGTAAAGCACCGTGAAGCCGGTATGTAAGTGCTAAAGTGCTATTGCTATTACATTGCTGCGTTATTTGCCAGAAAGTGTGAGAAATCACATCTCTGCTCATTTAGCACTCTGGAGTGGAAATCCAGGGACGAGATTTGCTCTAACGTCAATACATTTCACTGCAAGTTGATCTGTTTTCCCTGATTTTTTTAGAATTTTTAGCCATATTGGATGGAATATTTATGGGATAAGCCAGATGTGCATCCTTGGTGAATGAAAACTACCAGTGATGTCCACAGGGCGTGGTCAAAAGCCAAGGTGGATGCCACAAGAGAATAATAGAAGCTCCACCTGTTTTGCTGCCAGAGTTTTTCAATCATACAGCTCAATCGTACAGACATCCCTGACCTTATCTCCTGGCTACCCATGTATGTAAGAGCCGAGGTGGCGCAGTGGTTAGAGTGCACTACTGCTGCCACTTCAGCTGACTGTTAGCTGCAGTTCGGCGGTTCAAATCTCACCGGCTCAGGGTTGACTCAGCCTTCCATCCTTCCAAGGTGGGTAAAATGAGGACCCAGACAGTGGGGGCAATATGCTGACTCTGTAAACCGCTTAGAGAGGGCTGTAAAGCACCGTGAAGCCGGTATGTAAGTGCTAAAGTGCTATTGCTATTACATTGCTGCGTTATTTGCCAGAAAGTGTGAGAAATCACATCTCTGCTCATTTAGCACTCTGGAGTGGAAATCCAGGGACGAGATTTGCTCTAACGTCAATACATTTCACTGCAAGTTGATCTGTTTTCCCTGATTTTTTTAGAATTTTTAGCCATATTGGATGGAATATTTATGGGATAAGCCAGATGTGCATCCTTGGTGAATGAAAACTACCAGTGATGTCCACAGGGCGTGGTCAAAAGCCAAGGTGGATGCCACAAGAGAATAATAGAAGCTCCACCTGTTTTGCTGCCAGAGTTTTTCAATCATACAGCTCAATCGTACAGACATCCCTGACCTTATCTCCTGGCTACCCATGTATGTAAGAGCCGAGGTGGCGCAGTGGTTAGAGTGCAGTACTGCAGCCACTTCAGCTGACTGTTAGCTGCAGTTCGGCGGTTCAAATCTCACCGGCTCAAGGTTGACTCAGCCTTCCATCCTTCCAAGGTGGGTAAAATGAGGACCCAGACAGTGGGGGCAATATGCTGACTCTGTAAACCGCTTAGAGAGGGCTGAAAGCCCTATGAAGCGGTATATAAGTCTAACTGCTAAGAAGAAGAAGAATCACGTTATTAAAGATATTTATGAGAAGAATATAGAATTTTTTTATTGGCCAAGTGTGATGGGACGCACAAGGAATTTGGTGCATAAGCTCTCGGTGAAGAACAAGTCTCCCTCCTCCAGCCAAGCGGCTCTTCCCATTTCACCATCCGCCCCCAATACTCACCGGTCTTGCCCACCCCGCTGGCTCCCACCACCGCGATCTTGATGAGCCGAGGGCGGCCGGAGGCGCCGGCGTCTCCGCCGAGGACGTTCTCTGCCTGGGGATACTCGGCGATGGTGCCCATGTTCTGGATCAGGCGCATCGCAGCCGCTGCGGGGGAAAGCCGAGGGATGCCGAAGGAGCCGCCCCGTCCGCGTCCAGCCCCGCCGATCCTCTGCACAGCCTCGCCTCTCCCGACACCTTTTTCTCCTCTTCGCTTTGGCTCCTCCCACTCCCCCGCCCCACTTTCCCGGGAAAAAGTCCGCCCCGCCTCTTTCCTCCTCTGTCCAACCAATAGGGTCTGAGCAGCCCCTCCCCGGCAGCCCCACCCACCCACACTTGGCCCCGCCTCTCAGCTTCTGCCCAGCTCACGTTCCTGGGCAGGTTTGGCTGCGATCGCGCGCATCCCCGCCGTTCCACGAGGGGCTCCCCACGAGCGACCGCTTCCCTCCCTTTTTTTTTACTCTTCCCGTTGCCCCCCCTCCGTAACTCTCCCCACCTCTGCGCCCGTGAAGTGGGACCCGAGACCGGGATTGTCCCTCCGCCCGGATGGACGGACAGGTGGTTGGCGAGAGGCCAAGTCCCTGGGCGCAGGATGGAGTCCGGGAAGAACAAGGCGATCTGTTTTCTGCCGTGGGCGACGTGAATCATTGTTCCCCGCGCGTGGGCAAGGGAGGTTGACCCAACCTCGGGGCCTTCTGGTTGGGTTCCAGTCAATTCGCCCCTTCCCTCCCTCCCTCCCTCCCAAGGGGTGAAGATGGAAGGTTTTTACAACGCAGCTTTCAAAAGTGACCGGATGCTTAAACTCTTTCCTTAGGATATTAAAAGTCAGAGAACAGCCTGTGAAAAGGACAGTGTCTCTCTTTCGCACATTTAGTAGAAGTTTAGTACGTTCTATCAATCCTACACCTTAAGAATGAAATTCTGTTGCTGTCAAAAGGGTACACATGCATCACACACAAACACACAAACACACAAACA